ACAGGGAGAAAACACTGCATGAGACATCTGATAACTCAAAAATAACGGAGTGAGAATAGATGGGATTGAAATTACGGAAGTGCCAATATTACCTGAATACTCAAATAACCAGCTTGCTTTCTTGAACCGAAAGAAATGCATGTTAAGATACGCTGAATACCAAACTACTTAATTATAAACTTTATTTTGCAAACCGCTTAAGGTATTTAACTTAAAAATTAATTTAATTCAAAATTAGTCATTACTAACTTACGCTTTTTTCGTCTTGTAGTGCAAAGGTTTGGGCACAAAAACTGGCAACCTTTGCTTTTCTTCAGCTATCCGATGTTTCCGAACATTTTTCACACCGGAAGTTCGCCTTTCATTTGATGATGTTGACTGCCACTCATCACTATCGCCGGAAGGAAGCATTACAGGAATGGAGTACTTATTAAGCATTATATTTAAATCTTCACTGCAATTTAAAACAAAAAATGTAAAAATTTAAAACCTTACAAATTTTCTACTCAAAATATTAGAGTAAAATGAAAATATAGAAACCAGAAAGATAACATACCTAAAATCATGGGGTGCAATACGCTTGAAATTATTTGGATGATGTTCAAATTTGACAAGTAAATCGCAAAGAGATTCCTTTTCTCTCTGTGCTCTAAGCAACTCATTGGCTCGATCGATTGTTTCTTGGTATTGCATTAAATCAGAAGGTGTTGGAGCATTTGCTGAAGATTTTCAATAAATCATTATAAAAATGAATAGTCGATAAAGTTACATAATGGATAATGAGTAGATCGTTTCTCGATGATCTAGTTCCAAGAGAGAAAGATTCGACAATTAGACAAAATGCCATGACTTCAAAAAAAGTTTTGTGACAAAAAATCTTTTAAACTACCTTCAAGATTTGCACTTTTAAACTTGAATCGCTTAACTCCATCAGTCATTCTCATACGTGAACTCTTCTCTGGCAAATATTCCTGTACTATTGATGCCATCTTTTGCTTATCGGATTTCCTATTCTACAATTAATAAAAATAGAAAAAATCTAAACGCTCTTTTTAAATAGCAATAAAGTCTGTCAAAGAAGAATTTGATTTGAACAAAAACACTTATAAATGCTGACAAACGATTTATGCCAACAATTCTGCAACTTTAATCCTCTTTTGAGAAATGAAGCTGAGTGGAAAGAATATTACTTTAATATTTAACAATATGCCTTAACTTCCACCATAAACAGATAAAATATGACAGAATCCAGCAAACAGGAGCTAATTCCAGTTGCAATCAACTAAAAGAATAAGTTAAAAAAAAAAAGCTTATAGAAATAATTTTTAATAAGTATACTTTTTTGAATTTCTTGGAAATATCCACATCCAATTCATCACTTTCTGAATTTTCAGAGTATGATTCATCGTCCGACCTGAAAATTACTAATGAAGATTACTCATAAAAATGGAAAACTTCCAATTTTGACAACCTTTGTCCTCTTCCTCCTATTTTCGGATTTGTACATTTGGCTAAATGTTCACGACCATTTGCTACGATTGTTGCATAGCCGCATTTCCAACATTTCCAAGGTAACTGATCCTGTAAAACCACTAAAATTTACAAACCCGATCAATTTCTACCAGATTTTGTTACTTTTTTCCTCTTGAACACAGTGCATAAATTTAAACAACCAAGCGTCTTTGTTGTATATTAAGTTATTAAATCCCCTCACAGCCATATTTAAATATTTAAATCATTGAAAATTTCAGGAGATTTTATGTATTTAGAATTAGCTGATATGAATTACTAAAAAGTACCCTTTCTTGACCGCATCTTTCGAGATGATATGACAGCGCATAGAGATGCCCGTATTTTTGTGTACAATTCAATGTTTCGACATTCAAGCATGGCAAAACTTCCAATGCATTCATTGAAACCCGTAAAATTTTTGCCTTTGTGACTTTATCAAGTGCTCGAAACACATCAGCCTTACCCTATCAGCAAAAAATATTACAATATTCAATAATGACAAAAGCTTTCAGATATATAATTAAAAACCTATTTTCCTATATTACCTAAAGTTTAAATTAAACTGACATAATTTTGCATAGGACATCAAGATCTGAAATCAGTCATACTTAAAATAATCTCATCTTACACTTTGTTATGAAAGCAGACTAAAAAATTTACCATATATTTAAAATATTCTGGTAATTTCAGACATTTATCCACATGGCTAACGATATCTTCCATAGACTTCAAAGTTTTCGTACATTTTTCATTCAAACACTTTACCGTGCCATCAGCGCTTTCCGCAAATGCTCGTACAGCAAGTTGGTGCTTTTCCGTTTTTGACAGTACTGCCCAACTTGTTTTATGACCCTGCAAATGGCTGAATTCATTTAAATTCATTTAAAAAGTATTTTGAATTCAACCTTTGCATGAAGCTCGTAACAATTCTAAATTTAATTTATACATCTTCCAACAAATTCATTGCGTTATTCCATCAAAAGCGCCGAAGATAAAAGTTCAAATCTTAACAAAACTTGCATTTGATAAAATCTCCTTCCTTATAAACTACATTCTTACCGTATTGTTTCGATTAGGAGGAAATTGTTATAGTTTAAACATCGGTCTCTCTAATCAAAGAAAATTCTATTTTCAAGACCCCTCACTTGTTGGCTGACCTACTTCATTGCTTTTGTAGTTTTAATTATTCCTTTTGACTACACTCTATTAAGTTGTTTCAAACTTATAAGCGAATGAATAAAAAAATGAACAATCACATAATTATAAAATGACTATTCGATTAAATATATAATTTTTATTTACTCGATAAGCGGCATATTCAGCATATTTCTCCGGTGGGCGTCTTCGGGTTCGTTTCTGAAACCAGAATTATCGCTTTTGTTCAATTTCATTCAAAAGTTGAACTTGAATTTAAATTTACTATTTGTTACTTTTTTCGTTCTTATTTCTCTTCATATGTCCAAAATCATATTTATAAACTGTTTTTTCTTTGCTTTTTTAATAGCTAGTTTACAAGTGCTATTATAAAGACTTTTTTCTCTCTCTCTCTCTCCGAAATTTATTTCCATCGTCCGAAAAAGGATTTAAATCTACTGAGAGACCATGTCGATTTCAAAGATTACCTTGGGAGGTTTCGAGGGCCGAACGATAGCAACATTTTCTCCCTCATCAAATGACTGACTATCATCGGTTTCGTCACCATCTGAATGATCACTTTTATCATCTTTGGAATTGACCGTGATAACAGCAAGTTTCTGGAAAATGATAAATTAATGGTCCTGAATAAATCTGACGTTCTTTACAGGCAATCAAAAAATATTTGAAAAAAAAAAAAAAAAATGTAATGCAATATAGACTTTCGAGAAATTGTGAAAAAAGTACATAAAATTTCGTGATTTGGTCTAATTCTCAAACTTCACGAAATAATACGGTAGAGAAATATAGAACGTTTTTTTTTCTCCAAAATATTTTCATAAATAAAGCGAGGAAAATTAATTCACTAGCACAACCTGCTCTTTCCCTTGTTTCACATTTCTGTCACTTTTTCGAATAGTCGTTTTACCGGCTTTCGTTTCTCCAATGCTATCATTATTTCGCTTATTCGAATTGCCGCTGTTATTCCTCTTTGAATTCCTTAGATTCCTTTTCATCCATAAAAAAAAAGGAAAATTAGTAAACTAAAACTAAAATCATAATTAAAATCCATAGAGAAATGTAAGTTATGAAGAGAAACGTTTTAAAAAAACATCACAAAATTTAAATAGAAAAATTAGTACAGACACATGCATGCACGCATAGAGATCCATACGAATGTATATGTTCTTTTGTTTTTTTGTTCATAACATTAATCTACCAACGTTTATACTAATAAATTGAAATGCATTTCTTTATCGGATAATTTAATTCCATTAGATACTTTCTCACAGTTACTCATAACAACTTAAAAAAAAAAAATAAAAAAATAAAGTAATACAATTAGCAAAAGAAACTGATTACAAGTAGCACCAAATCTATGATAAAATTATAAGTTTAAATAATCATTCTACCATTGAAAAAATAAAATGAAAAATGTGTTTGTAATTTGACTTCGTCTAATTCAATAATAAGCTAAAAAAGCTCAGAAATTCAACTATATAAATGACTAATATTGGAAACTAAAAACATTACATTAGAAAAGATTTAAGAATAATACACCTCGTTGAAACAGTTAAGAATAACACAACCCGGAACTCGGGAAACATTCAACAATAATGCACTCCGGAATTAGGGAAACATTTAAGAATAATGCACTCCGGAACTAGAGAAACATTCAAGAATAATAGACCCCAGAACTAGGGAAACATTCGAGAATTATTTTTTTATTGTAATTTTTTACATTGGAAACATTCAAGAATAACACATCCAGAAATGAGGAAACATTCACGAATACCACACACCGGAATCGATCTTGCAGCAAATTTACCGTAACAGCAAAAGATTTCAGAACGACACACCCCGGAATCGACCCTACTTCCATCTAACTAATAACGACTACAGTATGCCAGAAAGAGTTTTATGATATGAATTGTAGGAAACAACTTAATAGTGGATAGTAATGAAAATGTATTTTTTTAATATCCTCTTCTTTTCTATTATTATTTACAGTTGTGGTTAATTTATTCAGTTCTATTATAACTAATTTTTTTTTTGAAGAATATATTATATGTGGAATAGTTTAAATAATTCTTATTATAGCTTTATAAATTTCTGGCAATACTCGAAGTAAGCGAAAAAATGTCAGTTTCAACAATGCCTTCGCAAAACTTTCGTCATGTAATGAAAGATAAGAAAAGGTATGGATTCATTAATTTTGTTTGATTAAATTGAAAATTAAATTACATTTTTTATAATGACGACTGTTAAGATTAATATTTAAATAAGTATTATTTATGATATCCGTGGATTCTGTTTGGGTTATATAGGACATATGGCTCTGTAATAATGGTAGGATGAATTGGGTCAACGAAGGACGTGTCACTCAACCCAATGAGTTGCTCCATTTCGATGATACTACAAAAATGCTTCTTAACGCTTTCATTATTCTCTTTCTATTTTTGCTTAAGTTTTCTTCCACAGGTAATTCTTAACAAATTAATTATTATCACTTATTTAAATTATAATTATTCCTTATATAACAGTTATTCTTTTCCTGCTTTTATCCATTATTTGTTGTCAGTAATAGTAATTTTATCATTATTATGTACCTATAATCAAATAAGTCAAGAAAAGAATGCTGTTATTGCATCATATATGTTGACTTGCTCACAATGAGCTAATTGATTTATATTATCAATGAGAAGGCAGAAGACAAACAAATAAAATTGAATAAATGCACTGTTCTGTATGTTATTTCGGCAATCGCTAAGCAGCAAACCATCAGTTCCGGTAGTTACATTATCATCGAATACTGAATGAATAATTGCATTGATACTAACAACCACTCATAATAAAAAATTAGATACATATGATATTTAATAAATAAAGGACTTGTTCATTTAATTTCAAGTTGGCTGGCTAAATTATCTTAGTTAATGAAAAATTTTAATGCAATAAAATTTAAAAATTCTTGACGCAAAGTTTATACTAGCATAATTGAATTCTTTATTAATATAAAAAAATATGGTTAATGTTATAAATCTTCTAATATGAATATTTTAGTTAAATATCTTGGTGGCATACCAGTACCTGGTCGTTCGGTACCACCTATGCGAATTTTTGAACTTTACGCCAAATCTTGTGCACCAAATGATCGAACTAAAGCAATAACTGAACAATTAAGCAAAGTTGGCTAATTAAACAACTTTTATTATTTAATTGTTTTTCCTTAATCTAGCCAATTTCAAAATTTCGATAATTTTTCGAAAATATTTCAAATGTTAAAAAAAGCTCTTTGTTTTTTGCACTTATACTTTTTTTAATTATTTATTATGAAGGATAAGGAATATGATACTTTCAGAGCTCTATTTTTCTTCGAAAATATAATTTTTTTGTAGTTGTTGCAAAAAATGGATGCAAATGATATTGCGAGTAATCTGTACAATTCATTGTATATAGCTGTTGGTGATATTAATGTTACCAAATTGATGGGTAAATGGTTTGTGGTAAGTAGATTTCGTTACAGGGAATAACTTTTAATTTCACTATTATCATTTATTTCTTTCCTTTCTTCTTTTCAAAAAGGGAAATTTAAAAAATTAGTCTGAAAATTTTAATTTATTTATAGGTAGCTGATACACCGAGTATTCATCATGAGCACTGCCCAATATTTTATTGTATGTTTTGTTTCTCTTACAGTCAATTTTTTGTTTATTTTTTTAAATTAAAAAGCCTTTTATACTATTTTGTTCATCGTTTTAGTTGATTTAATGGATAAAACTCCTTATACTTCAATATTCACGGTACGGCAGTATTCGCAAAATACAGAAAAGATTAAGATTTTGGAAGGATATGGGAGAAAAGTAGGACCGGATCCGGCAGAACTACTTATTAATATTGGCCATCCAGCTGATCCATGTCCATGTAAAGCTTTCAGTTCTTGCCAAAATATTAGCTAATACTTTGAAATAAATATTGAATAAACTAAAACAGAGAACAATGAAGAGTAAATATTTCCGGTAAAGATTTAAGTTAATAATTTCTTTGACGTAAGCTCACGTTAATGTAATTATATTATTGATACTAATTCAGTTGAATACTGACAAAAGTACCGCATGTGTGAGTATAAATATGCATATTCATAAATATCCATTTCAATACTTATATAATTTCTTATATTGTTCAATCAGTTTTTATTGTTTATTATATTTTAAGGCATTATCATAACTTTTCAGATTCGATAGTACGTAGTGGACCAATTAATGAAAACGAACAGTATGATTATATCATTTTAACTCAGCCTCTCAAATATCCAATTATGGTTCTTGCTCGTGATCCACCTGATTTTGAAAACAAGTATAAAGAAGAGGTAATAGATGGTAATCATCATATCATATGATTAATTAATCCAAATAGTAATTATAATTTCAAAATAATGGGTAATCCAGACATGAAAAATAATGTAAATTCAAGTTAAATTGGAAATAAAGCTGAGGAGAGTATTTAGTAAAATGCACTTATAAAATAAAAAAAATTAATCATGCCTAATTTTATATAAACCAATATGGATGTTTGTCATTTCATTTCACAATTTTAATTAATTTATAATTTATATGCTATCATATGGTAAATTAATATTTTTTCAAAAAACATCATTTAAATACCGCTCGCTTTTTCAAATTTTCTTTGATTTTTAAAAATTTTAGGTAAAAACATTCTTGGAAAATCAACGTTTTTGGCATTCTGCATTCTCACTTAAGAATAATGTTCTTTTTCTCAATACAACGGATTGTTTTCGAACGAATCAATACAACATCGGATTTTGATCTATGAATATTATTGCTATAATTATTACCAATTATTTATTATTGCTGTATTTATTATCACTTTGATTAAGTATTATAGATACCAATGTGTGTGTTTTTACCTAAATCCATCACTTTGATTAAGTATTATAGATACCAATGATCCAAAAGAAAAACGAAAGAAATTTTTACTATTTATGAACTCAGTGATCAGAGTTAATGAATTTGGTTTCTTTTCTTATTGTTTTTTACAGTTAGTTTATGAAATATTCAGAAGTTAATGTTTAAATTTTAGTGCAGCATAAGGAAGCAATCATTGAAATTTTATTTAAATATGCTCATTGAATTTATGATTTGATATATTCAATGAAATTGTTTATTATAAAGCTAAGGAGTGTAAAAAATTGATAAAAGCAGTTGCAAATGTCGTATAATATAAATTGAAAATATTGCACAGTGTGGTAAAGAATTCCATTTAACATGATACAAAATATCGCGTATTGTGATTGAGGACAGAAAATGTGTCTTAATTTAACATATATTCTTCCATACAAAATGTTTATTGCAGTATCTATGTGAAATAATGGCTTTTATCATGATAAGAAACTCATTAACTTTCGCGACGAAAATTTCTACATCTTTCAAGAATTCAAAAATAAGTTAAGAGAAAGTCTCTTTTTTCCCGTTTCGCCGTATAAATCTTTTTTACGAGAAATAATATAGCCAATCAAATGTTGTCATTATATTATTTCTTTACTGGAAATTGATTTTTAGGTACAAATTTAGTTGCTGCTGTTTTTTATAATTGGAGATAAATTACAAGTTAGATCAAATCTTATTTTGTCGATTCCAAGAATCATAAACCCAGAGATATTCAATTCATTTTTTGAAAAATAATTTCTGGCCAGTACATTTATCAAGCTGGTTTCATATTCATTTTCTGAAAATGTTGTAAACTTCGATTATAATTCATCTGCCAGACTTATTCTTAAGTCGTAACTTAGTTAGAATATCATTTCCCAAATGGATGGCCTTGCAGGACATTTACCCGGGTTGGGTTGGAATTGTTCCCTTCCTAAGATGACTGTCACTTTATTTGACTCTTAATATAAGCAAAGACATACGCTACCACTATCATAGCTCGTAATCTCATAAAGATAAATAAATTTCTCACGGAAGTATAGTGCGTTATTAATTATAAATAAATTTTCAATGCAAAAATTCAAGAAAGTATTGGAATGAAAAAAGAAAAAAATGTTATTAGAAAAAATAAATAAACGTTTGCTTGAAGAAAGAGTGAGACTCTTTGCGGCTGTAAATGCTAATTCATTTGGCTTTCCCACTACGAAGTTATCAAAGGTAAATCTTGGATCTAGAGGCTAACCAAGATTATTAACACTTTCCTCTTTATTTTTTGATATGATGCTAGAACTTGAATTCTTTTCTTCGGTTACCTGAATATCAATAGAACATATACTTTTATCTTCATTCTGCCATAACAATATTTTTTCCATGCAGTGAACTGTAATCCACTCTTTTATAAATCTTGTTGGCACAGATAACAAAACTTCCCCATTGCTACTACTAACAAATTTAAGTGAACTTAACCAACTGTTATATGTTGCTTCCCCATAAAGGTTATAAAGGAGATTTTGGATTTTTTTCCAAGAAATATTATGATCTGTTGCTGTAAAATTTGATCGAAAAACATAGCAGAAACCTTAGGATTAATTAAGCTCATACACTACACCAAGACAAAAGCAATGCTAGAAAAATATAAGATAATCGATAGCCTACTGCGAAAAGCTAATACTACTTAATACACACTAAAAATTATGGTGATTTTTAATGAGTAGTAAAGGGTATAGAAGCACTAAAATTGATCATTTTTATTTCAATAAATAAAACGTCGCTCGTGTCAAGGATTAGCATACTGCTAACATACTGTTAAAAAAATTATAATATATTATGTATAAATGAGATATTAAATTTATTGGTAAAAAAGTAAAATATTCATATAAAGATAGATAATTTAATGCGAATTTACTGAAACAAATCTATGATTACATTAAATAATTTGAATTGTTGTACTAAATTTGGCATTGAATTAGAATTTTATACTGAAGGAATAGAGAGAGAGCATTTATTTCTTAATAGTGTTAAAAATAAAATAGCTTTGCTTGGTTTTTCCTGCAAGAAAGAGATTTCTACACATCAATATGAGATAAAAAGTGGTTGTTATAATGATTCTAATAACTTAATCAAGCATTTTGACTTAGCAAAAGAATTACTTACTCAAGCAGCACAAAAACTTAGCGGAAATACTTTTTTCAAAGCAAAGCCCTATTTAGATAGGGCAGGCAGTGCATTAAATGTGCATGTTAATTTAGTGGATTCAAACAACAGTAATTTATTTTACTGTAATGAACAAAAGTACAGTGATTACTTAATTTATCGTATTGGTGGGTTATGTGCTATGATGAAAGAACATGTGTCATTCTTCGCTCCAAGTGATGATTCATATTTAAGGTTTCAATATCTAGATATTCACACACCAACTACAATTAGTTGGGGCGTGAACAATAGAACTGCAGCAATAAGGATTCCCTGTCTCGGCAGCAAGTGTCTAGAACACCGTGTTCCCGGGGCAGATTGTAACTTTGAAAAAGTACTTATAGCAATAATTGAAGGTATTACTTTTGGTATAGAAAACAAAATTGCCCCTCCAAATAGAGTATATGGTATCGCATCTGACCCTCAATATAAGATGGAGAATTTAGCATAAGCTCCAACCACCAGATGTACATCTAACAACGGAAGTTGCACTGCTTACTTTTATCATACCCCTGGTTCACGTCCATTACAGCTATTATTAACTTGGTTGATATAATCAAGCTTATATTATTATTTGGTACGTAAGTCATGCCCTCCAAATCTTTTATAACTTCACTTATTGCATTTGGTAATTCTTTAACCTGTAAATAGTTTCATCTCGTCGATTAACTTGAGCTGCAGCTTACTGTGCCACACTGTCATTAGGTGTTGATGTACTACTATCCAATAGAAGAAAAGTGATAGGGTTACTGTTAGTATTCCCTCTAGTAGGGTATTATACCAGGTAATGATGCAGGATTGTGCTTCTTATCTATTAAACTTTTTCCACATTGAGATCCTAGGAATTTCCCAGCAGCATTATGTAAAAAAAGACCTTGAATGTACAACTCCTCATTTCGTTCTATTAATTCTTTATTTTTCTTTTTTTCTAGCGATAGTTCAGAATTTTCTCTATTAGGTTTCTCACCACCAATTAAATCCCACCACCATTATCACGTAAAAAAGTACTAAGAAAATATCAATTTGAAATTTCAAGTGATTGATAAATAATGGTCTTCCTAAGAAAGTACTCATTTATGAGCTTTTATAAAAATTTTTAGAACTTTTAAGAGTTAATTTAAACGAAAAAAATCGAAGTCATATGACATTTCAAATGAATATTAAAATATTAGGGTAGAATTTTTTTAAATCGAAAACTTGAATACAAATACCATATTCGAATATATGGAAGTTCAAAAGAAGGGTAAAAATGCTGAGTGAAAAATGAAATTTAAAGTACTACAAATCATGTCTAAAAATTATAGGTAGTGCTAGGAAAAGAAAAAAGAAAATTAAAATTGTACTTTTCTATGTTTCGAACGAAACTGAATAATTAATATTACTTAATATTATTTACAATCATTTAAAGCGCTATACTAGTTTAATTATCTAAAACATAATAAATCTAATCATTTATGCTATATTTGGAAACAAATTTTAAACAATTCCCACATTTTAGTAATTGAGCATATAATTAAATATAACAGATGTAATTTAATCATTTCAATAATATTTCTAGTAGTGCTCAAACTACCACACCATATATGACCCGCTCTCATGCAATGCATACAACATAATCAATTAAGTTCGAAATATTGCTATTTTTAGTTTTGGCACTTAATTAAAATAAAAATTGATAATTTAGAACCAATTTCCTTGTTTAATGTAAGAAAACTATTACTAATTTCAAAATTTTTAAAAAATTCAAAATTTAAATTTGAAATTAAATTTAATTTTGAACCTTAAATTGAATTAAAACCATGATTAATTGAAAGTTTTATTAATTTCGCTGATGAATTTTTGCGCAAAACTCAATTACAAAAGCGTATTTTAATATTTAAACTATAAGATGACCACACCATATATGACCAGCTCTGGTGCAATGCATATAAAATAATCAATTAAGTTCAAAAAATAAATCTTTTCTTAAATGAATTGCTATTTTTAGCAAATTCAGCAGTTAATTAAAATTAAAATTGATTAATTAAAATTAAGTTTGAAAATTAAATTTGGTTCATAATTGCTATTAGTTCGCTTTCTCACAAATAAAGAGAATTCACTTTAGAAAATATATTTGCACATGCAATTAATTTCTTGTTTAATAATTTTTCAGAAACACTTTTTCACATTTCAAAAAGTTGTATAAACTAAAAGTAAACTGCTCATTAGAATCTACATAAACACTTGGTTACTGTATTTCATTTAGATTAAGAAGAGATTTATTTTGAAATCCTGTTTGTCTGTACGTAACACTGAAATTTAGAAATTTTTTATGATCAAATTCTTAATCAGAAAAACAGAAAAAGAATGTTACTCAATGAATGATGAAAGATAGCCTTTTTTGCGTATTCATGCTACGAATACACATTCTCTCCCCATTACTTCTACTAAAGTATGTTGTTGGTTGGGTTTCCCTTTTGAAGGATTATTCTTGGAAGGGGGGCATATAATTAAGACCAGTAGAAAATCCTGTACGCACCCCTCTCACTCTTACTTCATCAGCAATTTTTTTCTGATCCCTAGAGGGACCAATAATTCTCTTTTGTTGTTTGCCAATGATCGCACTTTTTTTTTTAGTGATGGAGTCCCCCCTCTCAAACTAGTGAACGAACATCTCCTCTTCCACATCCTTGCAATTTAGTAGTGTG